CCAACAAAAGTGGATACAGAAGGAACATACCTCAACATAACAAAAGCCATTCATGACAAACCCACAGCCAGCATAACAAAAATCTTCCCTTTCAACTAAAACTTGGAATTAGATAAGAATGTTCACTCTCATCACTTCTATTCAACATAGTACTGGAAGTCCTAGCCATAGTAATTAAACAAGGAAAGAAATAAAAGGTATCCAAATCAGAAGGGAAAGCATAAAATGTCACTATATGCAGATGACATGATACTATATACAGAAAACCCTAAGGACTCCACACAAAACTATTAGAACTGATAAATAAACTCAGCAAAGTATCAGAATACAAGATTAATATACAAAAATCTGGTGCATTTCTGTACACTAACAATGAAGTATCAGAAAGTCAAAGTTAAAAAAAAAAACCTTGTTTAAAAATCACATCAAAAAAACCTATGAATAAATCTAACCAACGAGGTGAGAGTTATATGCTAAGACTACAAAATAATGATAAAGGAAATCAAATGATTCAAGAAAATGGAAAGATATCCTATACTCTTGGATTAGAAAATTAATATTGTTTAAATGGTCATACTACAAAAAGCAAGCTACAGATTTAATGCAACCCCTATCAACTTCCCCGTGATATTTTTCATAGAACTAAAACAAACAATCTTAAAATTTATATGGAACTACAAAAGATCCAGAAGTGCCAAAGCAAACCTGAGGAAAATGAACAATGCTTGAGGAATAACTCTTCCAGGCTGCAGACAATACACAAAGCTACAGTAATCAAAAGTGTGACATCGGCACAGGAAGAGACATACAGATCAATGGAAAAAACAGAAAGCCCAGAAATAAACCTACATACATATGGTCAATTAATCTTTGGCAAAGGAGGCAAGAATATACAGAATGAGAATGGAGAAAAGAATGGAGAAAAGACATTCTCTTTAACACGTGGTCTTGGGAAAGATGGGCAGTGACTTGTACATCAATGAAGTTAGAATAGTCCTTTACCCAGTGCACAAAAATTAAGCTTAAAATGGCTTAAGAACTTAAATATCTGTTAGGACACCATAAAATTCCTAGAAGACAATATAGGCAAAACATTCTCTTACACAAATTATAATGACAGCTTCCTAGTATATATTTGTTGAGTCTTGTAATCAATCAAGATTTTAAAATATAGTAACTATATTTTTATAATTACTATAGACTGGATAATATTATTAACAAACATGATTCATAGAACTCTCATGGAACCCTGTACTCCTAAATCAATATATTCTTCTCAAGCATACATGAAATATTTATGAAAACTTACCATGCATGCTAGATCATATGCTCTGACCACAATACAATTAAATTAGAAATCAACAACAACAAAACAATAAAATCCCATGCACTATAAAATATGAAACACAGTTCTAAACAACTCAAAGAAAAAATGATAATAAAGATTATGGAAACAAAAGATCAGAGGAAACAGAACTTAATGGTAACCAAGGTATTATGTTGCAAAGTTTGTGGTGAGTAGCTAAAAATACATAGAAGGAAATCTATTCAATTATATGTATACATAAGAAAAAATAAGATAAAAATTAATGAGCTACACATCTAAAAAAGAAGTTAGAAAAAATGGGCTAAAAAGAAAACAAAGTAAATATAAGTTACGAAATGAAGAGAGCAGAAATTCCTGAAATAGATAAAACATATACAACTGAGGATCAAAAGTTGGTTCTCTGGAAAGAGTGACCAAGTGAAAAAAGGTAAGGTTTAATATGAGAAATTAAAAAAGGATCAAATTTCAGACACAAGAGAGATTTGTAAAAATAGAACACTAAGAAATCATTGATGCTAATATCAAACTATGTTTAAAAAAAAAAACAGAATGGGTAATTTCCTGGAAAAAAAATATGATTTGTTTAAACTCATAGAAAAAACAGAAAACCTGAATAAATCTATACTTATTAAATATGTAAAATCACTAGCCAAAAGTCTACTTATCAAAACTGTCCATAAGTTCTAGATGATTTTACAGGTGAGTTCTACCACTCAGTTAACAGTCAATCCCCACCTTATACAAAGTGTTCCAAAGAACAATAAGAACTTATTTCCACTTCAGTTATGAAGCTAACAGAACCTTGATATGAACCAGGCAGGGATAATACAAAAAAGAACATTTATGAGCCAATTTTACTTATGAACATAGATGCAAAAAGCTAAGTAAAATGATGGCAAACTTAAGTCAGGGATACATAATAGAAAATAATACATCACAATTTAATTAGGTTTAATCCCAGGAGATCAAGGATGGTTTACAATAAGAAGGTCTATTAATATATTTCACCACATGAATAGATTAAAGAAAGTCATAGAGAAAAATAAAAACACTCATCTATGACAAAGTTAAACACCCAATCATGATTAAAACAGAAACTTAAGCAACTAGGAACTCAGGGAATCTTCTTTACTTGATAATGGGTACCTATCAGAAAGCACTTAACCATAAAAGTGTGAAATAATTTTCCTTTAAATCAGGAAAAAAACAAAGACTCCCAATTGTACTTAATATTGTACTACTAGAGGGCCTAGCCAGTACCAAAATAATTGAAAATAATCAAGATTTCAGAGGAAAAGATAAATGGCAAAAATGCCTGTATGTTCTCGCACACATAGAGGTCAAGCGAAGCGGTTGAAGAGTTCAATACTTTCTGACAAGTCTAGAATTCCAGGATACCTAGATTTTTAGAAGCCCAGAGATTTCTTACATTCATGCCTTTTGCTCTCTTTGCTGGAGAGGATGTGGAGAAAAGGGAATCCTCTTGCACTGTTGGTGGGAATGTAAATTGATATAGCCATTGTGGCAAACAGTATGGAGGTTCCTTAAACAACTAAATACAGAACTACCATATGACCCAGCAATCCCACTCCTGGGTATATACCCTTTGAAAACTATAATTCAAAAGGTCACATGTACCATGATGTTCCCTGCAGCACTATTTACAATAGCCAGGACATAGAAACAAGCTAAATGTCCAATGACAGATGAATGGATAAAGAAGATGTGGAGTATTTCTCAGCCACTAAAAGAAACAAAAAAGGGTCATTTGTAGAGATATGGATGAACCTAGAGTCTGTCATACTAAGTGAAATAAGTCAGAAAAACAAATACCATATTTTCATGAATACATGTGGAATCTAGAAAAACGGTACAAATAAACTTTATTTCCAAGGCAGGGATAGAGACGTGGATGTAGAGAATGGACATGTGGACACAGGGTGGGGGGTAGGGGAGGGGAGAGTGGGACAAATTGTGAGATTAGGGTTGAGGTATATACACTACCACATGTAATTAGATAGCTAGGGGGAAGTTGCTTTCATAAAGCACAGGGAGCTCAGCTTTGTGCTCTGTGGTGGGTGGGATTGGGGTGAGGATGGGAGTGGAGAGAGTTCTAAGAGGGAGGGGATATATGTATATACATAGCTGATTCTCCTCACCATACAGCAAAAACTAACATAACACTGTAAAGCAATTATATTCCAATAAAATAGAAGAAAATAAATCCATAATTGTATTGTGTCTAAAAAGATGCCCTATCATTATCTGATTTTTTTATATTGTACTTAGTCGTTTTACAACCTTAACTTTCTAGGTTGATCAAAGATTCAAATTTAGTTTGACCTCATGTGTGGCAATTATACTTCGCACTCTGCATCCAAGCAGGAAGGCTGAGCACACCCCTGAAGACTACTTTAGGACTTTCTGACTCCCCACTGCTCTGAGGAAGGTATGTAAACAGTACTGAACTTTGCTCCTGTGGAGGACACACTACTTCTCTCCCCAGGAAACCTTTTTATCCTTTATCATTTTCAGTGTCTTTTCACCAGCTTCTCTCAAATAATACTAATAACAAATTAGTATTTAAATTAAAATACTTTAATAAAATTTCATTCTCAGTATTTGGTAGGGGAGTTATATTTAATTTTCTTTTCCCTTGATTCTTTAAACATTCTGCTCTTGTGGTTTTTCTAAGTATTTTTTGTACAATGAGTCACTCTGAGCAACTGACTGGGAATGTAGAAAAAAGGCTTCTCCCCTCCCCCCATTTTGATTTACTGTGTGATTGACCCTGGGCCAGTCACTGAACCTAATCAAGGAACTTCATTCATTGCTAAATAAAGATAAAAAGCCTGGAGAGATGGATTAAAATTAGATCCTGCCACCTAATGATTCAGTTTCTTAATAACTGACTTGCAGAAATTAATTAGCTTTTTCCTGTAACAATTTCATTTGGAAAAGGTCTTTATTACTTTTGCCTAGTCATAGTCTTTTTATGTTTCTCTATCCAATTCTCTGTTACTCTCCATTTGTTTACTTAGTTTCAGTGAATAATCATGGCTCTCCACAATAATTAGCCCCAAATTCAGGGATAATTTTGTGATCTTTAGAAAGTCTCTGAGATACATTTCTAATTTATGAAGTGGTAATCAAAGTACTCTTATCGTTTCCCTCACAATTGCTACAACAGACAATGAATGTGGACTGGAAAAACTGTAAAGGACAATATATTTGTATTCATCTTAAATGAATAATTCTATTCACTGATGCAAGAATTTAGTCATAATACCTGATTGGGTCTTAAGTGATACTAATCCATTAGATACTACTAAAAATTATAACTGAGTAATTTATTTATAAGTGCAGAACAATAAATGCGGAACAAGGAAGACTTTAAAGTAACAAAATGTAGTTTAAGAATGACATGGGTGCCTGCTTAAAAGCAGGAAATTAATACTTGAAGATTTTCCTTTTTCTAAGTTTAAATCTTTTGAATCCATAACCTATGGTAAAAGCTGAAAATACAAAACAAATGAAAGGAAAACTCAAGAGTTAACAAATCTTAAGGTAGGACCAAAAGAAATCTTGCAAATATGGTCCCTGGATCACATAGAAATTCAAAGCAAAAAAAAAAAAAAAAAATGTGAAGACATAAACTGCTTCATTTTCTTACCTTTGTTCTGTATTAAAGAGTGCAAAGATGTGCTTGCTAGACATAAAGCTTTTTTCCACATCCCGAACTTTCAGGTTGTCCAAGGGAAGCATATACTTCTTTTCTTTTTCCTATTGAGAGAGAGAGAGAGAGAACTGGATTTAATAAAAGATCTTGAAGCATGCCCACAGCCACATATCACCTGAGCTGGTCAGCATTTGATTACAATATTTTGACACCATCATACACTACTTTGACACCAGCTACCAAGGAACAAGGGTTTCCCAGGGGGCTAAGTGGTAAAGAAACCTCCTGCCAAGCAAGAGATGCGGGTTTGACCCCTAGGTCAGGAAGATTCCCTGGAGGACATGGCAGCTCACTCCAGTTTTCTTCCCTGGGAAAATCCCATGGACAGAGGAGCCTGGTGGGCTACAGTCCATGGGGTTGCAAAGAGTTGGACACGACTTTGCAACTAAGCCATCAAACCATCACCAAACCACACCAAGAAAGAAAAATCATTGGAGACAGGAGATGCCAATGGTTCTCAATACATGGGTCAGAAGAATGAGGCAAGGGAAAGTGCAGAGGAAGAAAGGGCTCAGGGATGGAGAAAACATATGGTCTTCTATCCTTTCTTCCTCATGTGGGTCCCCTTAGATGTTTTAAAATGTTAGTTTGATATTAAAAATTTAGCCATCTGTTAATATTTAACAAAAATGTTCTGGTCCTAATTCAATGAGAAATGCCAGATGGATTTCATTTCATATTTTATTTGCAGCCTAAGCAGTTTTGATAGCCAGAACTGGCAGGAGACTGGAAGCACAAGGACCCTAGTATGAAATATTCCCTATAAACTATGATAAAGCACAGAAAATACTTCTTTCATTCAAGTCAAGAATAAAATGTGGGTCCAGGAAAAAAAAAATGATTCCATTAAATTGTCAAACTCTTTGGGGAGAAAAAACACCCTTTAGAAGTGAATTGATATTAACTAGAACAAATTCTCTTCTAAAATTAACAACTCTTTAGGAAGAAAATGGACATTTGAGAGGGAAGGTCTGCAAATGGAACCAAACCAATCTTGGTTAAATATATTGGATGCCAAAGAATTATTAGAACATTTACCTTTATGGACTGACCCAGGGACAATATTATCACATACATAAATACCTAACAATCAGTATAATAGGAAACAACCAAATATTCAACTTTAGGAAAACTGGTCAATATTTGGGGCATCTTAACACAGCCCTTGTTAAACAGTAGTCCTCTGTATATCTCAGGTGACAGTCCTGAGAAATACCAGGCCTAGATTTCAGAGGAGAAGAGCATAGAAATTTAGCCATGACTTAATAAACAAGTATTAATGCTTATGAGAAATACATACACCATACAGATATGTTTGACATAAACTTTATTGTTCTTTCAGCTCCTACAGTTCTTCCTTGAGAACTTGTCTACGCTCAGTAGTGTGGGGCAGAATTCTATGCTCCCTAGCCAGCTTGCGGGGGCCATGCTGTCTGCAGACATCAGAAAATGTTATTGCAAGAACTATCACTGCCTTTGCCTCTTCTTACTCCTAAATTAGTCAGGGGAAAGTTGGGCAGAGCACATTAGAATAGTGAGGCAGAGAAAAACAGGTGACACGGGAAGCTAAAGGAAGCTGGTTGGAAGACAAAATGGCTGTCTTAGAAGGCAAAGTCTTCAAAGAAGATAACAAAATAGACCAAAAACATAAATTGAATGGCAGTGAGAGAAGCCCAAGAATAAAAAAAAAAAAAATCAAAGCACTGTAAGAAGATTCCAATATTTCTTTTACAGATATTAACAATAGCAAATACAAGGATATTCTAAATAACAAAATACATAATTTATGCAAATGAAGCATCAGAGTTGGGCCTAACTTGTTTGAAAGGCCTGTAGACTATTTTAGGACACAATTCTAAGAGGCAAGATTGTAGACTGAATGAAAAGCTACCCAAAACATAATCAAATGAAAATGCTTGAGACCCAGGGAACATTTTTGTATTGGATGCTTTTCAATGCCCTAAATTTAAGCAGCTGGATTTTTTTAATGCACATCCTATTCAACCTTTTGAAATGATGGATTTGCCTTCTAATGGGAAATCTGCATTTCATTGTAAAGATGGAACACAATGTCCTTGGCATGTTTTCCATAGAAGTAGGCTCTCTTTTGTACTACATTCTTTAGCATATAGTGGAGACCAAAACTCCAGCAAGTTTACGTCAGATATTAAACAATGGAGAAAAACACACATGTGCAGACAGAGAAATATAAAAAAATGTAGTTTCATTTCCAAAGAACTAAATGCCATTTATCCAAGATTTTTGAGGACATATTGCTAAATTATTTCCTAATCAAGAGCTTTAAGACTGACAAAAAAAGAAGAAAAAGAAGATTCAGACAAATTTGTTTAAAGTTGTTAGATGGAGAGTTAAATGAGAGAACCACGAAGCTATATATCATGGATATCTCTGAAATACTTGGTGCTTCTGGGAAAGTATGATGTTGTACTAAAATAACATCTTGAATATGAAATAGTTGAAATAAAAGAAACAGAGGAGAAAGGGTAAACAATTATAATTTCTAAAATATAGTGAATCTTACCACCTTAATTAAGACCTTTGTTACATATTCTTTGTTAACTCTATAAACTTCCTAATAATTCACTGTTCAATATGGTAGCCTCCAGCTAAGGTGACTACCAGGTTCTTGAAATGTAGCTAGTCAAATTGGGATGTGCTTTAAGTGTTAAATACATACCAGATTTCAAAGATTTATTATGAGAAAAAGAATGAAAACTATATCATTAATACTTCTATATCAATTATATGTTGAAATGACAATACTTTGAATATATTGAGGTAAAATATTACTAAACATAATTTCATCTGTACTGTTTTGAATGCAGCCGTTAGATAATTTTAAATGACATATGCGGCTCACATTAACTTTCTATTGACAGTGATGAGCCCATGTACATATCACCACATTCCTTCCCCTCAGCCATCCAGTCTTCCTCTTCCGACCTCCCCATTTCTGCCATCAGGTATATTTATCCTTCTGCCAGTCACCCAGTCTGAAACCTCACTATCATTTCTGACGTATTGTCTTCCATCGCCTCCTTTATTACATCAAGGCTATACTGCACTGTGTTTGAAGCATTTGTCATAGCTCCCATTGTTTGACATTCCCACTACATTAATTCAGGTCCCTGGCATCTCACAAGCCTGAAGCTATAAATGGCCTCCTATCTAGTCTTTTAGTCTTGTACTTCCTCTAACATCACCAGAGAGGGCAATTTTCTTAAACTACTCTGTCAACTTCATTATAGACCTTCAAAACTTTCATAGCTCTCCATTATTTATGGAAGAAGTTCCATGAAACTTAATGTGAAATTGAAAAACACCTACAAATTGGTCTGATCCTGACTTGTCAATGTCTCCTTTACTCTTTAGTAGGAAGTCTCCATTTCAACCAAATACACAGTTGCCAACAGTCCTTTCCCAGCCTGATATACTCTTTCAACCTCTCCCTATATCCCAGTGTACTATTTAAAGTCCAGTTCAAGGTCTATCTTCTATGCAAAGAGTTTTCCCAGAGTTTTAATTCTATGTCTGTCTGTATTAGTACCCCCTCTCTCCTTTCAATTCATACAACAGGTGTGGTTTATTCTATTCACTTTAAATTATAGGTATACGTTGGAGATATTACAGGTTTAGTTCCAGACCTCCACAATAGAGCCAATATCATAATAAAGCAAGTCAAATGATGTTTGGTTTCTCAGTACATACAAAAGTTATGTTTATACTAAACGGTAGTCTATTAAGTGTAGCATAGCATTGTGTTTTTAAAAAAACAATCTACTAACCTCAATTTAAAAGTACTTCATTGCTTAAAAATGCTAATCATTATCTGACAACGCAAGGTTATTACAAACCTTCAATTTAAAAAAAAACACATTATCTGGGAAGTGCAATAAAGTGAAGAACAATAAAATGAGGTATGTGTGTATACCTTATATGAGACATCTTCATCTTGCAAATGCATTAATTTAAAAATTTTTGTCAAGGTTTTTCATTTGGAACTCAGAATGTTCAGTTAATTTTATTGTTCAAGTAGGTTACACATGCAAAGAAAAGCAAAAAAGTAGAGAATGTTTCTTTTTTTGGTAAGTAAACAAGGAATAGAATTTGATATTTTAAACATTTTATCTTTAATAGACATTTTGGAGGAAGCATTTGCAAAATTCTAGAGGAAGAGTTTTTAAAAGGGGATCAAGAACAAATTTTTCTGTGTAAGTTTCAAAAGCTTCAAAAGCTGATGTCACTCATTCAGCACCATTCTTTTCTTCACTTTAAAACATGATACCTTTCCTTTTCTCAATATAAGATGGTTATCAGTACTACTGGTTCAAGATTGAGAAAGGAGTAAGACAGGGCTGTTTCCTGTCACCCTGTTTGTTTAGCCTATATGCTGAGCACATCATGAGAAATACCAGACTAGATGAGTCACAAGCTGGAATCAAGACAGGCAGGGAAACATCAACAACCTCAGATACGCAGATGATACCACTCTAATGGCACAAAGCAAAGACAAATTAAAGAGCCTCTTATAAGAGTGAAGGAAGAGAGTGAAAGAGCCGGCTTAAAACTAAATATTAAAAAAACTAAGATCATGGCATCCGGGCCCATTATTTCATGGCAAATAGAAGGGGAAAAGGTGGAAGAAGTGACAGATTTCTTCTTCTTGGGCTCAAAGATCACTGCAGATGGTGACTACAGCCGTGAAATCAGCAGATGATCGCTTCTTGGTGGGAAAGCTATGACAAACCTAGATGGTGTGTTGAAAAGCAGAGACATTACTCTGCTGACAAAGGTCCATATAGTCAAGGCTATGGTCTTCCCAGTGGTCACGTAAGGCTGTGAGAGCTGGACTGTAAAGAAGGCAGGCCAAAGAATTGATGCCTTCGAACTGTGGTGCTGGAGAAGACTCCTGAAAGCCCTTAAACAACCAGGAGGTCAAATGAGTCAAATCTTAAGGGAAATCAACCCTGAATACTCATTGAAAGGACATATGCTGAAGCTGAAGCTCCAGTATTTTGGTCAT